AGCACGCAGCTAATAGTTGGCAGTGAGATTAAGTGCAGCAAAGAATATCATGCATAATGGATGCTGGAAGCCCTGTAGCCCCATATATATGTCATAAACCTATCCAAAGAAAGGTGTCAAGAGTGAAATGGCAGCAGCCAGCAGTGGCTCAAGATTTCCAAGCCAAGGCTGAGGACTGATGGTAGTTACTGGCTGCAACTGTTCATACTATAGCCTGGAAACTACCCTGCTTGCTCACCTTTCCTTGCCTTACCCAGGAAGTGCAAACACAAGAGGCAGGATGACAGCTGATTCCTGCTCTCCATCCTGGAAAAACAGAGATCAGGAATGAGAGGGACAAAGAAGAAATGTATTTTGCTTTCAAGGATTTTTCTTTTGAAATAGGAAAAAAAATATATTTCTCCTTCGTCTCAAATAAGAGTGGTGGCTCTTTCACCAGTACTATTTACTGGTACAGATTTTTCATTTCTAACATTTTAATTTCTTCAGAAAGTCTGTCTAAGAGTAAAAGTAATAAAATCCCATGTCCTGAATGTTTGCAAGGTTTAAAATAAGTAAAAGTGTTCCAAATTCATCCTTGCTGTAGTGTAGTTTGGGCTGATTTTTGGTTTATGGTTTTAATGACAAGGTAAATGCTCAGTAACCTCAAACTGAACAGATGCCAAAACCCCATATGCCACATAAAATGACAGCATCCCACAGTCACATGGAAAAGTGTGTCTATATGCAACACCTTTCTTTTGAAAACTCTCATCTTCTCTGACAGTTGCAATAAACTGCATCAAGAAATTCTCCAAATGAACCCATGCAACCCATCCATACAGTGCTGATATTACAGCACAGTGCCAGTCCTCAGAGACTTGCTTACTCCCATTGAAAGTGATCTCCATGAACTGTGATTTTCAGGAGGTGTCTGAATCTAAAAGAATTTCCTGTTTTTAAACAAAATCTGATATCTGATCAATTTCCTATTTTTAAGCGAAATCTGATACTTTTGTTCAATGTGTAATTAAAAAAATCCCCCATTATATTGGACATATGACTTAACAAGCTTTCTATAACAAAACTTCAGTACACTGATGATTTTTTTTTTTTTTTTTTAGTTTAAATCTCATGTGGAAATATTCCCAACTTAGGACTTTCCCAAACTGATCTTTTTCTAACTGCTTTCTATCAAATTAGATAATCTCTGTTTACTTTTAATACAGGGAGATTCTGGTGGACCTTTGGCCTGTGAGGAAAATGAAATATCTTACCTCTACGGAATTATCAGCTGGGGAGATGGCTGTGGCAGAGTCAACAAACCTGGAGTATATACACGAGTGACAAACTATGTAAATTGGATTAATGAGAGAATAGCCCCCCGAAAAACTAGTTGAACAGTTAAATATGCTAACATTTGAAGCAGGGTTCAGGAGTCTTTTGGTTTCATTAAAGTGGCATAAGTATTTCATTATAAACTGGTGTGAAAACTGTCATGGTAATTCATAGCAATTCCAAGCCAAACCTGCTCCATCTGATGTCAGCAGCCTTGATCTAGAACTCTGGGGCTGTGGATTGCTCAAGGTACATGACTGTCTCTATTTGTCTTAATAAAAAACCAATCCCAAACATGTTGAGACAATGCAAAAAAATCTACAACTCTCTGTCTTCTTGGTGGATTACATAAAAAGTGATTTGATGTGTTTATGCAGTTTCTGGTGGAGCTGTCATATCCCAAACCCACCTATAATAACACTGTACTTGTATTCTCAGATGAGATAGAAAAATAAATAGGAGGAGCATCAAAAATGAAATTCCCTCTCCCTCAGAAGTCATCTCTTAAAGTTCAGGTCAAGAAACACCAATAGAATAATGCAGGTAAAGCTGCTCCTCAGCTAACTGCAACAAACCAGTTCTGGGGAAAAAAACAAGAGGGTTTAGGTTTTGTTTCAACTAAACCTGTAAGCATGTTTTTGTATTAACACATTACTATGTTCCACTGATGTAAAATCAGGATATCTCAGAGCTCTGCTGAATCTGGTGTGCAATTTTTCAGCAAGGTCAATGCAACACCTCCTGAGAGGTCAGCGTTTCTTGCTGAAAAATGTTGGAAGTTGGAGCACCTGATTTAGGCCGATACAGCCAGCACCTTTTCCAGACTGTGATCTGCTCCTTGCCCTGAGGATAGCAATGGAAATATTTTACCATGAAGATAAATCCCTAAGAGTTTCTTTAATTTGACAGTGTTTTGAAGATGTTTTAGATTTTTGTACTAACAGGTTGTTTAGCTGTTTAGATAATTCAGAAAGGAGGTTTCTCTTAACAGATTTTTCAACTGGATGGCTGGGGGAGCAGCTTGAAATTTTCCTTGGGGATTTGGTGATAGCATAAACCACAGGCGTTGCTGTCATGGTCTGTGGAATTGTTATGGGAACAATCAAAGAAATTATTAAAACATATACCTGTTTAAAGGCCATGGGCTCATCTGTGTTAGCAAAAAAAAGAAAATTATTCAACAACAACAACAAAAAAATCTGACAAAGAATGGAAAATTCCATCTGCTTTTTTTTTTTTTTTTTTAATACATGGAACCTTTAGCCATGTCAGCTCTGTACATTTGAAGTGCTTATGTGAAATGTATTTCTTCCCTGGTAGTGAATACTTATGAACTGTCTTAAGTGTTTCAAGCAAAGTTGTGCTTTAAGATACAGAATTTTTAAAGTGATGCCTAGATACTCAGATATGTGTTTTGTTTTATAGTACTGGCACTGTCCTCATGGGTTTCTTAGTAGTGGTAAATGAAATCTGCAGTTAAAAGAAACTTTTAAAGGAAAAATAACCAAAACCTGAATATGTATAAGTACAAATATATAACAATGCTAATCTAGAAGAATGATGTAAACTGTTTAATAAAAACATTTACCCTCTGTTTCTGGGACTTAGTCTGTTATGTGTAAAGTTACAACAAAATCTTTGAATCCCTCTGTAGGTTGAGAGCCGATAGAAACATGAAATAACACTTTGTGCTGGAAGGCATCTGAAAAGCTGGGCACAAGGATCAATTTCAGCTGGTGGTGCTCCCAGTTTTATGCAAGTGCCACACAAATTTCCAGTAGACAGATGTAAGCGCTTGGATTTGGTTTTCAGCTGTGAATACTGTGAATCCTAAGATCAAAGTCTTTAGTTTGTTTTTCTGAAGCACTAAAGGGTAACTTGAAAAACTGAGGTCCATCTCTGGGGTCTTGATTCCAAAACAAGCTGAAGACTCTTGTTGTCTGGCTCTGCCTTCCCAGTCATGTGGACTACCAGTCTGGCTTGCTTAACTCCCTGAAATGAATGTGACTGTGTAAAAATAATAACTGTACCTGCTGCTGAAAGACAAGTACTCAATCAGCATGAAGAAATTATTTAGTCTTCTTTGGAAGGGATTCATCAGGAACAGGTTTCCACTCAAAGCTTAAGCCATTCTGAACGTCTGTATCTGTCCTGTGACTTCAGGTTCACTTTGAAATTAATATCCATCCATACTGTGCATACCTTTGATCTTCTGGTTTTGTGTTATATATGTGTTCTTTTGGTCTTCTGTTGCATTAAAGAAGGCAGCTGTTTGATTGGAAAGGTGACTACACTTGTGTTTCTGACAATTTGTGTAGAGTTTTTAGCTATCCTGTTTTCAAAATCTATGCTGCTTGTATCACTACACAGCAACACCACTACAATAACACATTTTTAAAAAGTATATTGAATGGTCTGTTTTCTGCCCTCAAAGGTCTAAACAGCAAATCTCCAATTCCTACTGTTACACTTTGAATGCATTAAAATGAATTTGTGGCTTTCAAAGCATCCTGTTTGTCCACTGTTACTGCACTGAGTCCATGGAACTAAATTAAAAACATTTGAGCACTGGCTGTATGGTGACTAGCACTGTGTTAAATGCACAAACCCACAGCAGGGGTGACAAGGAAAGACCAGGTTGTGAGATGTCCTTGCCTGACCTCTCACACCCCTGACACCAGTCACACAACTACGGGGCACTCCAGCAGCTTCTGCCTTCTGTCTTTTTGTTGAGCATTACCCCATGGAAACTCATCTTCCATAGTCTTCACCGCCTTGAAGTGAATATCACTTTGGTTAAAATGAAAGTCCAACTTATATGTACTAGTGAAATTTTATCTGATATTTTTCCTAACTTTATATTGAAATTGAATTGGAATGCAAAGCCAGATGAACAAACACTTCCCTAATTCATTATGAAACACACTTAGAGATGGTTTTATTAAATTGTATGTTATTCCATGCAAACTGACTGATTAAAAGGAAAGAAATAAATGCAAACATCTAAACCCCCCTCTTATTATGCTATTGAAAGAAAAATGTGCTGTGGTGCTGTTCAAAAAAGCTGAAGAACTAATTACCATCAAATAAGATGCAGTAGGAGTATTTTTGGAATAATGGACTCTAATTAGTCCACTGCTCTTGGAAATAAATCTGAGGACATCATTAACACATCTTATTCTATTAATTGTAGCTGCTCTGGGCTTGATGTAAGCGTGTTGTTATCTCGTGACAGTTGCATTGCAAAGAAGAAAAAAAAAAGAGAGAAGATTATTTTTATCTGGGCTACTTGGCTGCATGTCTTCTGGAAGCCAGGGAGAGCTGTAATTACACTTTTGAAAAGTGAGAATTGGGCGTTATAAGGGAGGTGCGGGAAGGGGGTGCTTCGGCCGGCCCCGCTCCGCGAGGGAAATCCGGTCCGGGCTTTGCGGCCGGCCGGGCTCGGGGCAGCCCAGGGCGGGTCAGCGGCAAAGCCCGGAGCGGGGCTGCCCCGCCGGGCGGCCGCAAAGCCCGGAGCCGGACGGGGCGGGGGTCCCGCCCGGAGCGGATCCACCGAGGCAGCCCGAGCCGGGCTGCGACGCTCCGATAAGCCAGCCTGCGCCTCCCGCTCTGAAACCCTGGAGAAAATACTAGTACTACTAATAATAATTAAAAAAACCCCAAGCCCACAAACAGACCAAAACCGCCCGCAGAGTAAAATACGTGAACCAGGGACCAGTGAAAGGGTTCCCGGGACCCCCTTTCCCCCCCGCGCGGTGGGGCCGGGCAGTGCCGCGCCGCCCGCGCGGGGCCCTCCGACAGCTATTTTGGAAGTGACCCCTCGGGCGGCCGGAGCGCGGGGCGGGCGCAGCGAGCCGGCGCAGCTGTCCGGAATCATGACTGAAGATGACGGATTCCGTGGTGGTGGAGGGTCACGTCAAGTTGAGAGACGGAAAAAAGGTCCCCGCTCCGAGCGCCCCTTCGGCCCCGCGGGGCCGGGGGGTCCCCGACCGACGCTTCTTTCCCCCCAGGGGAGAGAGCTCGCTCTCCCCTCCCCTGCCCGGCCCTGGCTAACCCTGTCCCTTTGCCTCTCGTTGCAGTGGAAGAACAGGTGGCTGGTGCTGCGCAAGCCCTCCCCGGTGGCAGGTAAGAGGGGACTCGGGCTAGGCGGAGGCAGGGCCGGAGTGTCCCTCCTCCTCCTCCTTCTCCTCCTCCTCCTCGTCCCGGCGGTGGGGGACAGGGCTCGGGGCCCTTGGGGCTCGCAGGGCACCCCTCGGGGTGCGCAGCCTGGCCAGGGCTCTCCAAAAGTTGTGTCCGGCCTCGTGGCGAGCTCCTGCGGAGCTTAATGCCAGGCTAAAACCAAGGGGAAAAGAGACTTTCCAAAGCAGAACCATTGGGTTTGCTGCCCGTTTAAAATGGAAATTTCCCCCCCCCTTTTTTTTAAAAATTATTATTATTTCTTCAGGGTGATTGCTGGGTGTATGTAAAAAAAAAAAAAAGCTGGCATTGTAAGCACGGTAGTTATTTTTGATCAGTGTTTTGACAGAAAATATCACTTCAATTTAAAAATAAAATGACATTTTGAATTAAGGGGGAAAAAAAAGAATAAAAAAAAAAGATCGTTTCCATGCTTCTGAAGGGGAAATTGAAAATCTTACACAGAGCTGATGTTTTACTGCTGCAGAGAGAAAAGTGGGTTTTAGGTTTTCCCATCTATTCCCAACAGGGAAACCATTTGGGCCCAAAAGTATATCGTTTCAGGGCTAAACGTTGTCACTTAGAAAATGTGAATCTGCATTGCTGCGGAATGGATTATGGCATCTTTTCTAGGCTGTTGCTGGTAGACTGAAGGTTTCATAGTAATTGAAGCTCTTCAAACCTAATTCTTTGTTACCAGAGCTGGTACAGTAATTTTTTTAGTGTCTTAAATACCTGTATCTCATCTGAATCTGTGAAACTTCTCTGTGTGAAAGGGCATCTGTTGATCCTAGAGCTGGTATCTGGACACGTGAATGTGGGCCTGGACTTCTAAAGGAAGTAAGCCAAGTTTGAGAGGAATAGATGAGGGAGCCTGACTGAAAACGTAGCTTATTCCTCAAAAATAGTATTTTTATTCTAGCTAAATTAGCCAGGTTTACAAAAAAAAAAGCCCCCACTCATTTGATTTTCTTGGTGCATAAACCATAGTTGCTGCTTCTTCAGACACACAATGGTATTGCAGAATGCTTAAACACTGTGTTTGCAGCTGTTTTTGCTCACAGGTGCACAAAGACAATTGGGGATCCATGCAAAGCTCTGCATTAGTTAGCAGACAGTTCAGTCTTTCAGTCATTTTTCATCTGTTTGGAGATTTGCCAGTCCTTGCCCAGCTGAGAGCACCAGGGCACCTCACCAGGGCTCAGAGCACCACACCCCAACGTCCATAAAACGGTGCAGTGGGTCTTTGTCTCTGTGGTTCGTAGCTCAGCTTAAGCTGTGGTTGTTGCAGCTTTGGTATTGACCATTAATTTCATGTACAGCTGAGTGCTGTGTGATAGGAAAGGAACCTGGAGGAAAAAGGGCTGCTTTTGTCATAAATGCAAAAAGTGAGAGAGGTCTCTTCCCGTTTTTCTTGGTTTTTTTGGGTTTGCCTGTGAAATGTTCTTTTCCTGTGGGACTGTGGCACTTGAATTGCCTTCTTCTGTTGCATAGTTGCTGTGTAATAAGCACCTCTAGGAAGGAGTTAAAAACAACTGACGAGACAATCAAGCATAAAAAAAAAATAAGAATAAAAGAAGGTGTGGCACATAATGATTTTTAGCAAGGGCTACTGTGTAGCATTTAACTGGGAAACCTGAGCCGGCATGAACAATCTTGCAGTGCTTGCCATTTAGTAGTTGGGTAATCTGTGAGCTACTGTAAGAATTTCATTTGTGGTTCAGTATGTTCTAATGGAAATACAGATGACAATAGCCTCTCGATCCTTGGAGTCTGTAATGTGAACAGTATCGTAGCATAGCTCCTAATGTTCCGAATTAATGAGTCAGACTAGGGAGAGTATCTGAAAAGCTCCTGGACTATGATGAGTAAAACAGGGAAGACGTATTACTGGCTTCCTTCTTTCCTTATTGCAGATTACTCTTGGAACATGCCTTCAGTGTTTGCTTTCTGAAAACAAGGGCTACAAACTACCGGGGGGTGGTGTGGGAAAAGGAATCTGAGTTCTTACATTGACTTTGCGCAGTTTTCTAAAGCACCTTTGTATTGAGCAGAGTGCTGAGAAATGTGTTATGGTCTAAGCTCTGCCTCATCATCTCTGACAGTTTTGCTTCTTTTAGACTGTTTGCTCATGCTGGTGTACAAGGATAAATCTGAACGAGCAAAAGGGCACAAGGAGAGGAGCAGCATGACCTTAGAAGACATCTGTGGCTTGGAGCCTGGCCTCTCCTACGAGGGCCTGAACCACACACTGGCAATCATCTGTCTCTCTCAAGTTGTGATGCTGGGATTTGAGAACAAGGAAACAATGTACGCATGGGATGTACGAATACGCTACAGTTTGGGGGAAGGTAACCTTTGTCTTCTTGCACCTTCCCTGCCCCCTCCCTCCCCTCCCCCCCAGGGGGTAAAAAACCAAGGAGTAGCAAAACTAAAATGCAAATAAATAAGTACAGTTCAGGAAAAGACTGTCAGTCATCTGAAAGTGAAGAGACTGGTCTTCCCCTTAGATAATAAAGCAGGTGTCCCTTATGATAGGTTTTGACTGTAGTACTGCCCACTACGGATGGATAACCGTGAGACCTCTCAACACAGGTTTTTGATTTTGGCACTGACAGTATGCAGGTTTGAAACAAAGTAATCAGACTTGGTTCTACAGTTTACTCAGGGATTCTGAGAACATAAATTAAGAGATGCAGAGTTCTGAGTTGTACTTGGCTAGTTCAGGCCCATTTTTCTGAGCTGCCCGCCAGGTGTTGCATTGACAGTGCTTATTGCTGCTAGTGTCCCATTTCAGAAAGAGACTTCTTGCAATAACGATTGTCATCAGACACATTCTCTCCAGCTAACTTCACTTTTTTGCATCCTTTTATTTTATTTTCTTGGTTAGCAGCTCTAAAATGTGCAGTAGTGAACAAAGAGTGATAATGTTGGTAATCCATAGTATCTGTCTTATGTTTGTTTAGTCATAACTAGGGAAGGAGGGTAGGTGTGTGGGAGACACACATTAGCCATCTTTATCATTTGTTACATATGCTGTGCCATCTGTTTGGTTTGTGGCTCGTTCCTTTGCAGTACATATTTTGAAAGATGGCCTGGGAATTTTTCAGTAAAAAAAAGTAGAAGTATCAGAAGTGAGATGTGTGGATGTACCTCTCAGAGCTATCAAATATGAAGTCTTGCATAACAGGAAAGGTTAGGGAGGGTTCTGAACAATACCGGCACAAGTAGCTGGAGTCATTGGTACACTTTGATGATACAGCTATATTGTCTTCCAGTTATATTTTCTTCCTAGATTTGAGATCTATATATAGCATAGAGTTGTCCTGAAGTCTCAAGGAGAATTTGAATTTGACAGGGTAGGTCTGATATTTATGATCTTGCACTGATGCAGTGCTGGGATGAACAGCGTAATCTCAATCTGGGTGTGTGGGTTATGGTTGTAATTGGAGGAAATGAAAATGGAGTGAAGAGTTTTGTTTTTTTTTCAAAGAATGCTGTGAATGAGGTAGGAATAGAGGCTATTGGATGGTGACATGTGCAGCCATGGAGTAAAGGTGAAGTGTGGTGGAATGTGTGTGGAGGTGGAGAAATGCAGAAGTAAGAAAACAAGTATAATTGATTGAAATAACAATAATTTATAGAAAGTCAATTGCAAAAAATCTTAGGGGAAGGAGGTTAAACCAGAGCATAGAGTTTTTTTCAGGATGAAAGAAAGGAAGCTTTCAGTGAAGCTTCAGTTAGGAGAAAGAAGTCAAATTAAAGTGAGTCTAGTTTGAGTAGACAGAAATAAAAAAGAGAGGAGACTTCGATAAAGAGAGGGTGGTTACTAGTGTTTTTTCCTGAAGCGTAGTAAGGGCGCCTTTGTGTGCCTTGAAAGTAACAGTAAGGTAGCTGGATGATAAAAATAGGCAGGGAACAGATGACCTCAGAGTCTGGGAAGCAAAAAAAAAAAAAAAGAGAATGTGAAAGGAGTTGACACTGTTCTTGAATGAGGACCACAGAGTGGAAGCGTTCATACTGGAGTTCCCAGTGTTTTCTCAAGTTTTTAGCAGATGAGGTGGATGTGATTGCTGAAATGTGCTTCAACCCTCAACCCTTTCTGAGAATTTAGCATACTGCAGGTCAGTGAGTAGCTTTGAAGAAGAAAAGATTAGCTGAAGAAATTGATGAATTTACGTGGTACCTGCTGTTCATGGGTGTATTCAGCTCTATGACTTCATGGTGTTTGGTTTTTTTTTTCATAGAATAGGAGAAGTTGATGGCTGGGGAGAATTTTGAAAAAAAATCCAGTTTGCTGAGAAAGCAGCATATGGAAAAAGCTTCATGTTCAGATATGTTTTTTCTTCTACTTTGGCTTTGTTCAGATTTGGATGTGCTGTTTTTTGACAGTGGTCTAGAATTTGAGATGGAGCGCTTTGTTCTCAGCAGCTGTTGTAACTTGCAGCTGATTGTGTGAAGAGTGGGCTCCATTCCTAATTTATGACGCAGAAAGAACCCTGATGCTTCTGCTCCCGAAGTTTAATTGTCAGCAAAGTCCTGGGCAGAGTTAGCTGAGCAGAGGGGTCCAAATGATATTAAAGATTCCTCACTGAGCGTTACTCGTCACGATGGTTTTGCTATCTTTTTCATAGTTTATGTTTAAGCAGGTTGCGTAACAACCGTGTGCCCAAAAGGGGACATGGTGTGACTATTGATTTGCTCCCTAGCAGCACTACTGGCAGAGCTGTAAGTAGAGCTGTGGTCAGTTAGATCTATCTCTGTCTCCTTGCACATTTCACTCGAATGACTTTGTGGCTAATTCTGCTGGAGCCTCAGGGAACTTACCAAGTGCACGTCATAGATGAGGAGTTGACTTACAGCTCAGATCGTAACTAAGAATATAGCAAGTAGTTAGATGAGAAGCAAGACTCAGACCTAGGTGAAATGTGTGATGCTTGGAGAGGCATGGGCAAGAAACAGGGAAGAGTGGTTGTAAGAACTGAGACTACAGGAAGTTACCCTGTAGATTTCATAGGCACGGAGCTGTTTGTATGATCTTTAATACATAACCAAAAGCTAAATCTATGTTCTTCTTCATAAACACTCTACTAAAACACTCTGCTGGGAAGTGTAACAGTCTTGATGTTTCTCTCTGCTAACACAAGAGTGGGTTTTTGGGTGGTATTTTTTTAAAAATTATTTTTCTGTGAGTTTTTTTTTCTTTTGTTGTCTAATCACAATATGAAAGAAACTAGAGGACTAGTGGAGGTCGAAACTATTGTTTGAGAATTATATGCTTACTCACTTAAATTGTTCCCATTGAAACACTGAGATTTGAGCCCTTGCAGTGATCCTAATAACTTATTATTCAGAATGCAATAGCTCTGCAAGACAAAATGGGAGATCAGCCTCGAATAACTGCTACTTTAGGTAAGGACCCTTGCAAAATAGGTGATACTGGAGTTGGGATTTGAAACTGAAATTTGTAAAATTGAATGAGATAGGCATTTCTTTTTTTTTTTTTTTCTCCACTCTTTTGAAATTTAGGCTGTGAGATATGAAAAATTAACTGACATCCAAAAGTGTTTTATTACCTATGAATCATTTAATTTCCTAGTAATTTTAAATGTCTGGGCATCTACCACCACCGACTCCTGAAAGAATCACAAAGGTGGAAAAATGTAATTTTCTCCATTTTGCTGCTAGGGAAGAAATGAAGCAGTTTATTAAAGGTTGCAGATGAGTCATTGATAGAGATCTGGTTAGAATTTACCTAATTCTTTGAGCCTTGAATTTTGGGCACTGTGTTATTTGTGTTGCATGCATGTAGGAAAGGGGTAACACAGTTTAGAGAAGGAGACAGAAACCTGTGTAGTAATGCAAGGATGGAAGAGGTAAGTGAAGTGTGGGCTGGATAACTGACTAATCTGAGATAGGGATCAGCCTGGAAGATTTAGGATTAACTAATATAGCATTACAACTTTAATAAGTTGTAAGAAAAAAAACATACAGTGGGTCTTTTCCAATTCTAAACTGGCATAATAGTAGTGAGCTTACAGTTACTTTCATGGGGCTGCCTGGGCTCCACGTAGAATCTTTATGTTAGAGTCTCCTGGTGTGGGCAGGGGTTGGTCCAAGTGCTACAGCTGAATGGAATGACCTGTGTAACTTAAGTCATGGTACCTTACTGGTATATTGTACAGTAATTTTTTTTCTTCCTTATTTGATAGTTCATAGATTTCAAGTCTTTGTAGCACCTGGCACCAAACTAGAGAGCGGGCCTGCTACCCTGCATTTCTGCAATGACATTCTCGTCCTTGCAAAAGACCTTCCTCCCAGTGTCATGGGGCAGTGGAAGCTCTCAGATCTGCGCCGATATGGAGCTGTCCCAAACGGATTCATCTTTGAAGGGGGTACCAGGTGCGGCTTCTGTAAGTACAAATGGAAACCTGTCTTCTAAAAGTTGCTTGATAACCTTTTGTAGAAATGCAAATGCTGGTCTCATTCAAAGCTGAGACTGCAGAACCAGCTGTGCTGCTCTGTCATACAGGCAGCCTCATCTCAGAGGGTCTGTTCTGAGTAGATTTCTGCAGGCTTAAACCCTGGTGTTGAGTGGGTATACAGATTGCCAGTTTGAATGTGAAGTTGTTTGACTTGCGTACTGAAATGTGAAAATAAGGGATTTCTTCAATTAACAAACTGAAAAATTAGAAGATTTCAGAGGTGATCCAAATGCAAATATATTCTTCCCTGGACTTCTTTACTGTTGTTCTGCCTTGTTCCTTGGGACTTGTATGCTGATGCTCTGCATGTTATTTCTGGTTGCCGTACTTCTACAGAGTGGGAAACCCAAGTTCCTGGCCCCCTTCAATATGTTGGGCTTCAAAGCTTTATCTTCCTGCAGAATGGTTGGTGCCCACATAAAAAACAGTCCACTATAAGGAGAGACCCTACATCCCTGCTCCTAAGCATAAATGCTTAGTTAAGGTTAGCTACTACTTGTATAAGAAAGCCCAGAAATAATAGGAGGGGTATGTGTATATATATATATATATATATATAATCCCTCATTGATGTTCTTTAGTTAAATTGTGGCATTTCTACTGTAGCTTGTTCTAAATCTGACGCAATTGCTATGCTCCAAAAATTTAAACTGGTTTGGGCTTACTGAGTGTTGCTGTAACTCACCTCCACATTGCAGAAAGCCTAAATAGCTCAATCCATGGGCCAGGATGCCAGATCATAGAATCACAGAATGGTTTGGGTTGGGAGGGATCATCCAGTTCCAACCCCAGTGCTGTGGGCCGGGGCACCTTTCACTAGAGCAGGTGCATAAGGAACACCTCAAGTGCTGAGTCCAGTTCTGGGCCCCTCACTACAAGAAGGACATTGAGGTGCTGGAGCAGGTCCAGGGAAGGACAGTGGAGCTAGGGAAGGGTCTAGAGGGTAAGTCCTATAAGGAATAGCTGAGGGAGCTGGGGTTGTTTAGCCTGGAGAAAAGGAGGCTCAGGGGAGACCTCATTGCTGTCTACAACCACCTGAAAGGAGGTTGTAGCCAGGGGGATTTGGCCTCTCCTTCTGGGCAACCAGTGACAGGACAAGAGGGCACAGTCTTAAGCTGCACCAGGGGAGGTTTAGGTTGGACATTAGGAGGAATTTCTTCACAGAATGTGTTGTCAAACATTGGAGCAGACTGCCCAGGGAGGTGGTGAGGTAAGCATCCCTGGAGGTGTTTAATAAAAGACTGAATGTGGCACTTAGTGCCATGGTCTAATTGACATGTCCAGTCAAAGGTTGGACTTGATGATCTCAGGTGTCTTTTCCAACTTAATTGATTCTGTAATTCTGTGAAATGTGAAGCTGTAGGTGGTTAGGTGGTAGAACCTGGATTACCTACCTGGTTTCTTTTTCCCTCCCTTAAACTTAAACTTTCTGGTAAGAAACATGAGGTCATCAATAGCTCTCCTGTGTCCCTTTTGTTTAAGTATGAAATAATCTCTTTTTTTTGCTTTTAGTTTGCAGGTGATGTGAATTAGACAAGTGCTTTGGGAAGGGTCCCACTAATTTGTTTATCATTCATAAGAAATGTCTGTCTTGATAGCTCAGACCTTTCAGTTGCCATGAAAGGGTGTTTTTGCCTTTCTCCTGCAGGTGTGCATAGTCATTTTGGTACAAAATAGCCTGTCACAGTTGGAAACCCTTTACAAGTTCAAGCTTATCTTGTTAAAGGAGTTGTTGCCCTTAACTGAGCACTTAAACATATCTGCAAGCATAACAACATTTAAATATGGGTTTACTCTAAACATTTGAGTTAATATTGCCACTATAAGAAAATGCTTTTTGTAAACAGAACCTAAATAAAAATGTTACTCTGGTTATTTTTGACAGAAGAGTGTTGGCAAAGAGAAAGACCATCTTTCTTCAAGCATCTGACTCTTACCTTAGTCTTCTGGAACTCTTGAGGAATAGGCAAGCAAGTAATGTTCAGGGAAAAAACCTGATATGTTATTACAGAAGTTGTTTTACTTCCTAAACCAAAGCACTCTCCATTACCCTGTCATGGAAATGTCATACAATATTATGCAGACTCTATTATTAATGTTACTTTCCTACAGGTTAAACCATATCTTTGCTCACATTCTTCCTGTGGAGCTCTGAATGCTGAGGATTAGTGAATTTAAGGTTTAAATACCACTGTAGTAAATACCTAATTAAAAGGAACCAATGATCTTGTGGTTCGATTGCCTCACTCTGCATTAAAACCCATGAAGCCCCAAACAGAAGCAAAGCTCACTTTTGGCTGTGGTAAACCTGAGGTCTAAAAGGACATGAATTGGTTTTAGTTTTCTGATTCTTGCTTCCTTACAAATTTTTTCATAAAAATAAAATCGTTAATTATGTTCTGGAATTATTTGCTCAGTAAAGGCTTTGTTCAACTCCAAAGGCTTTGGGTACTCGATCCAGGTAGAGGGAAACCATCTGAGATAATGCTGAGTTTCCAAACATTAAATCTAGGTGCGTTTCCAAGGTGGTTAACACAGGCTTATTCATAAATAGGAAAGAAAACCATTTAAATTTTGAACTTCTCTTACTTTTAGCATCACAGTTGTACTGGTAGAGATTAGAAAATACTTTTCCTGCTTCTGAAAGCTGCAAAAAAGTTATTCCCCGGGGAAAAATTGTGCTCTCTCTGTAGCTGAAGCTTAATCACACATACCATTTGCAAAAAAGCAGGCGTCTTGGCCTAGGAGTCAATTGAGAGGTTTACACAGAGGAACAGGCTGGAAAAAAGGAGCCTCTCACTTTCCTAAGTTGCTCACTCAATTAGCATGCACCGATAAAAATGACCAGTTGCCAGGAGAATCTTGACTTGGAGGTCAATGTGAAAATACTCAAGTAGGGTAATAAAAGGGCATGTTAATGCTGTGAGAATTCAGTGTTCAAGTGCTTCAGGATTAGCTTCCAGAGCCTGGTTTAAAGCTGCCTCATGTTTTGTGACAGCGTCTCCTGGAAGAAAGGAACCTGTAGGACCCTTAGTGCTCTTTCAAAGAACAAATGCTGATGCTGCTGATTGCAAGATAAGCAGGAGTATTTCTGTGATTGTTTTGGTAGTTTGATAAAATTAGGTGCACCCTCCCTTCTTCCCTCCCTTCTTCCCTCCCTTCTTCCCTCCCTTCTTCCCTCCCTTCTTCCCTCCCTTCTTCCCTCCCTTCTTCCCTCCCTTCTTCCCTCCCTTCTTTCCACATCTGCATTTGTTTGAAAATTAAAAGTAGTAGGGGTGGTTAAACTGGGGCAAAATCTGGAATTTCTTGAAAATATCTCAGTTTTGTAGATTAAAACTTCTGTTAATATGCAGATATTGCCCTGTGCTGTCTCCTCCTTAGGTCTACTGCAGACAACAATAACCATTCTTATCTTATTTTCAGTAGTCATGCCCATATCTTAGTTGGCAACACCAAAAGGGAACACCCTTTTTCATTTTCCTCAGAGAGAAGGGGGTTCTCAAGCCCAGGGTTGAGATGTTACTAGTTGGACGATATGCTGATCGCCATGAAATCAACTGCCATGGTTTGTACCTGTCCTGTAGTTTAAATTAGACTTCAGGCTCTGGCATCGTCTGGCAGCTGTCAGGAGTAGTAATTAATGGGAAGGGACTGACTCTTCCTCCCTGCTTTCACACACAGTACAGAGGTTGAAGTAATTTTTGTCCATTTTGAGGGCGTGTTCGCAAATGGGTTTGCTTTTTTTTAGTATGATAAATGAAAATCGAACATAAGCAGGATTTAGTAGTATCTAGGAAGTTTTATGAAATTGACAACTTCTCTTGAATGTTTGAGGGACTGTACAATGCTTTACTGGCTGACACAGAGGACTGGCTTAGTGTTTCAGTCTTGTGCAAGTGGTTGCAGACTTTTCACCAAGTCTCTTACCCCGTGGAGGGAGTGAGTGAGCCCTTCAGTCTGGTAAACAGCTGCATGGTATTACAGGGATGCATACCACATATTCCTCAGCTTCCAAATGCCTGTGCACCAAATCTGTTCCAGCACGTGACTGGGATGTGTAATTTCTAGTAGTGAATTTGTCAGTTTTCTCAAGAAAGCAGAAAAAAAATGCAATGACTTGTTTTTATGTATGCTTTTGAAACATTACTCTCTCAAGTTCATCTCACTTGATGTTTTTTTGCAAGCACCCTCAGACTTCTTCCTTCACTTGCAATATAGTTCTATCTAGCAAAACAAAGAGAATGTTTCCTGTGAGAGTCAATCAGCAATTAAAGTGTTATTCTATGTGAATAATAGAATCTACAAAGAAATATTTAATGTGTATATTGGATTTGTATCCACACGCACGTGGACATACGCTGTTTGTTATATGAAGGCAATCACATTTGGTTTTGGGATTTCCGAATAAGTGATACTTCTTTGCTGAAATAATCATTTGAGTTAAGCAGCCAGCTTGCGTGAGCACGTTTACTTTTTTTGTTTCCATTAAACTCAAAGTCTTGTAGAGCCCATTAGGAGTTTAGGTAACTCTTGACAATAGTCATAAAAGAATAAAGTGGCCCAGATATACTCTTTATGTACAGAAATACTTGAGGTATCTTTGTTTCCTGAGTGGCAACGTGGATGTGTAGGATTCTGCTGAATTATCAAGCCACACAGTGTATCACTGTGCTTGAGACATCAATGTGTTCTGCTGTGTTCTCTCTGTATCCTGCTTGCTTATTGTGCATGGAATGTGAACATCATCCAGCAAAGCCTGGTGCTGCCCTGCTCCCTCAAGAAAGATGTGGCTTCTGGCATTGATGTGATTCATGGGGGAAGAGTCATACCATCCAAGATTAGGCAAACTGATTCCCACAGACTCCCTCTATTCTGTGCAGGGAGAAGTGAGCTCAAAGAAAAAGCTGAATGTCAAGTAATTCCTGAACACATTGCAGCCAGTTTTTTTTTTTTTTTTTCCCTAAGACAGTGTTCTCTGACTTTGGCATTTCTTGGGGAGGGGAAATGGGGCAAGATTTCATGAGTCACCACCAGAAACCTTCATACCTGTCAGACTGTGTGATTAGTGTTGTAATCTCCTAGATGGTCTCTGATCCTGAAGCCAGGGTGTGTATTTGTTTCTTTGGCTGAAGAATTTTTGATAAGCAAGATGTGAAGAGATGCAAATGTGGTGGAGTGACAAATCAAGTTAAGAAGATGTTGCTAACAATGTTTTCTTGAATAGATTTAAGCAGAACAGGCAGAGACCTAGATGTGACATAAATTGAGAGTGACAGAAGAGTGTGGACCAGAATATGTTTTTCCTGGAGTGATCAGTTTACTACTTGCTAGTTATATCTAATTTACTAAAATAGTTAAGGTGGTTTGTGGTCCACTCTCTATTATCCCTTTTGTTTGAATCCCATAGCCCTTTGTCAAGCTGTTTAAAGTGTGTCCATTGCTTAGGTGAAATGTGAGTATCCTGTTGGATATGACGGGGTATGTGTGTGGAAAGTGATGGGGATGCAGTAATTCTGGTCAAGACCAGCTCTACTGCTTTCAGTAAAATTGGAAAAAATATGTGTGCAACTCAGAATTGGCTAGAGACAGGCAGAAGTCAAACATATGCCCAGATTAGGGGCTCAGTCCCTAGGAAAGTAATGTGCAAAACCCTACTGCAGGTCTAAGATTTGGTATTGTAGTTTTCTGGTGTGCATGGGTCTGGGGAAGTGGCGGTGCTTCTTCAAGGTCTGTATACTAATTTCATTTCTGTCTGTGTCTGGTATTGAATTTTTGTGTCCCTGAAATTTTGCCTGATGTTTTAAGGTAATATTTTTTTTTCCTAATGTGATTTATATTTGGACTGACTCTTCTCAAATTGTTCTGTGGAGCCCTTCTAGTCTTTTGTCTTGTTCATGTAGTCATATATCATGGAGCTCATAACTTGTTTGTTTATTTAGTGATTCTCATTCTAATTTTGCTTGGGGCTATTCTTAATGAATGGAAAGCAAATATCAGAATAGAGCAAAGGGTAAAGATCTGATGACAACCTGTGGAGTTGTGTTACGTTCTGTTAATAATAGACACATAGGACTTAGTCTAAGAAAATTTATACTATAATCCAGCAGTATAACCAAATCATAATTCATTGGTATATAAAAAACTCCTCCTGGTTAAAAGTAGAATTAACTTGGTTCATTTTGCTGGAGACACTTTAAGTATCTCTGACACTTGCCATAAGATTTGGCCTACAAAATTTTAGGGGTAAATAAGAATAAAAAACCCAGGCAGTTGATAAGAATAAGTCTTCTATTTTGACATTGAGGGGGAATTGGAACTAAGTGATCTTTAAGGTACTTTCCAACCCAAGCCATTTTATGATCGTGTGACATAAGTCTAAGTACCTGAATGTCAGAAAATTAACATAAATTATTAGGTAGCTATTGGATTTTTATATGTTTGTGTTATAGTGTGTGTGCTGACCTGAATTTTTTATTTCTTTTCCCTGGAGAACGTCCCGTTGCCTTGTTTTCATGGCTTGCACTTAACACTCTCCTGATTGCTATGTTACAAATACTTCCAGCTAAATGTATTTCTAATGTATCCAGGTGAAAACCACCTTTGTGTTGTGCTTCCTTGCAGGGGCTGGTGTCTTCTTCCTCTCTTGCGCTGAAGGAGAGCAGATCAGCTTTCTGTTCGACTGCATCGTCCGCGGCATCTCCCCGACGAAAGGCCCCTTTGGTTTGCGTCCAGTCCTACCAGGTTAATATAGGAAGTATAAAGTAACCGAGTGGAGTAGGAACTTGCCATGTCTCGCACTTGCTGCTGCGATTGTAAGAACAGCTTGCAGACGTTGAGGGTGTGGAGAGTGCAAAGTGGTTTTCATTCTGAAATGTCACAGTACGGATTTATAAGCTGAATGTACCCAGTTTCCCCCCTGCTGCTCCGGCTCATTCATATTTCTGGTGATATTGCTAACTTTAGCCCTCTCATGTTTAACAGTACTAAGAGATGGCAATTTGAATTGAAAGGAACACTAACCTTTAGTTTTAAAATTACATATTTAACCTGGATCCATGTGTGCACTGCTATTTTGATAGTTTAATGGAAAACTAGCTTCTTGAGCATTTTGAGTTCATCTGAAACGCTGAGTTCTAAGTCTTGTCAACCTTGGAAAACTTTTGTCAGGCCTGCACATCCCATTTCAGTTTTGCATCTTGAGCTTTTTTTTCTATGTTCGGGGACTAAATTCCTTTTCCCATTCCATGGTAGATGCTGCATGCACTGTAATGTTTAGAGAGGAAATTGAATGGCATCACAGTAAGCCCCATTGCCTTTTGATTTCAGCAGATGGAATACAATTACTGTGTCAAACAGGACAAAAGTGTAGAAATGAGATTGCAGAAAATGATCTGTGACTTGGCAGTGGAATACAGTGGGAATAGGCTGCAAGAATGGTGGGATTTTTAGAGAATAATACTTAGAGTTTCTGTTGAAGTGGTTAGGCAGTTAATAAGTGTTTGACAGGGTTTTATTGCTGTTGTAAGATTAAGATAATTGCAGGAAGGAAAATGTGATGGAGAAGATTAGATCTGGATCTGAAGCTTGTGAAAATAAATTATGAAAAGTTAGTTAACATAAATGCAGTAAACACAAGGCTCAGTTCATGTCTTCTCAGTTGTAAGACTGAAGTAAATTAAATAATCAAGGAGAGCAGTGGACAGAAAAATCATTCTTCTTGTATGATGATATGTGTTCACATTCAATTAAATGTAGCTTTCAAAAAAAAGGAAACAGCAAAAACCCCAGCAGAAACACAAAACTCAGTGTTGATACTTATAGCTTTGCTATTGAATACATTTTTGTACATGTCTAAAACTCTTATTACATATATACAACTCCTAAATCTTTCACTTAACAAAAGATTTTGCGCAGAAAAATTAAACCTACAAGCAACTTTTCTGTTGTATTTTTTTGAAAAAAAAATTTTTGTTTTAAATTTAAATTTTAGATGGCTCAGTCTTTGAAGAATCATTTTTTGGAGCATATAGGAATGGATCTGCTTTCATATCTTTGGTTATCAGTTCTGGTGTTTGTGTGTTGTTGTGCATAGCCACATCCCACATTCCTTTCCCTCCTTCAAGAGCTCTGAGCTCACCCAAGTGCATAAAGTGGATATGGAACATCCTGGGGATGATTTTGTTTTTTATAAGAAAAGACCTCTTTTCTGAGGTCTTTTGTTTTCTTTTCTGTGCTTGATGGACTTGCCACTGAAATGAATTGAAGAGGTACTTGGCCACTTGATTTCCTCTTGTTTCCCTGGACAGAAGTGCTTTATAGGAAAGTGTGCTCCTGTTCTTGCAGGCTCCTCTGCCTTTTGCCAAGGTACCTTCACACCTTTAACTTTTATTCCTGTTTATTTTGCCCTTGTGTCTTCCAGTTTGTTGTCACTCCTATGTACACATTCATAGAAAAAAAATATTTTTTTATGTTCTCCTTCATTTATTATGCCATGCAGAAGGTTGCACAGATCTAAGGCACATGGACATGCACAATACTAGTGATTCATCCATAAACTAGTTTTCCTTATCAAGTATGTTGTTGCACAGAATGTACTGCATTGATTGAAAAGGTCAAGTCTACCAACTGCATACTGTATCTGTCAAGTATTGAAATTCACCCAACCTTTTGAAAGGATTAGCTATTAGACGGATTAATTATCTATACACGTCAGGTAATTAGATCAAGACTTTCAGATTAAGGATTCTACCAAGACACGTCTAGTCAATGTTATTAATATTTACTGCAGTGCAGAATGCCACTCACCCTCAACTGTGCTCTGTGTATGCAATGTTCTGCTTTTGTGTAATAAAAGCTTTTAGAGAAAGCAACTTCCTCTTCACAGTTTGCTATTTGAATTTGGCTTCCTGCCGTTGTCTGTACCTTTCCAGCTTAAATGTGAGGTATACTTGAAGCACTCTGGTATTTCCAAGCAAGGAAAACACACAAAGGGCAGCTGCACAGGGAAAGACCATAGTATGGTAAAAAAAGTCACACTGATGGTGTTGGACACCAATGCCCACAAGACAAGTATAATCTGTAAATGTTAAGCAGTCAACGTCTGTGTTGTCTGTCTTTGTAAAAAAGAGTAATGAATGAAGCCAGTTGCTTCGTGTACAAACAGCTCAACCATATGGTTAAAAGGAGTGCTGAAATATTTGTGTTAGCATGAAATTAATAGGAAGTGGTAGAGACTGGTTTGAAGAGGATGGAAAATGATTAATTTTCTTACTTGCCATAGTGATTCTTTAAACAAATATAAAATACCGGTATCCAAATGGAGTTTGCAAACTGCATGTGCAAGGGATACTTGCTCAAGGACAATATTCTCATCTTCTTCTTGGGATTTTAGTTTTAAAACATATACCTTATTTCCTTAGAAGTATGGTGTTCTTATCACACAGATACATGATTACTGTATGTAATTTATTATGTCATCTATAAAATATATGATGAAAATCCAGTGCAGTGGAACTCATAAACTTGACTGAACATTGCAAAGTGTCACAGTCTGGTCTAATCTTTCATAGCAGATGCTGCTTTGGACAGCAGGTTATACTAGAGAACTCCTGAGATCCCCTCCAAACTGAATTATTTTGTGATGTTTTGGAAATGGGTATCAAATTACTATTCTCATGGCAAAATATAACTCTTGTGTAGATCCAAAATAGAATGGAAAAGGAAAAGAGCATTAGATGTTTTACACTTTTTTACTGGTGGTACTTACTTTGGGAGTCCGTTAATACTGCAGAATTATAGCATAATAATCCTATTGATAACTCCATTAGCAGATTAGAAGTTTTGATTTATTAAAAGCTGCATGATAAGGTCTCATTAAAAAAACCTGAAGACATATGGCATTGAGTGGGAATGTGAAGGTAGTGTAGGTAGTGTAGGTATATGTATCTGTAAATGTTTTTAGGCAGTGTAACATTTTAAATAAAGGACTTAAATGAGTGATGTGATATCTTTGGATGGCTTGTTTTCTTCAGCTACTAGTTGGAAGATAACTGCTATAAACGGCTGTTAGCATGGTCTCTTTTTTTTCTTTCTTTTTCTTTTTTTCTTTCTTTTTCTTTTTTTTCTTTTTCTTTTTTTTCTTTCTTTTTCTTTTTTTTCTTTCTTTTTCTTTTTTTTTTTCTTTTTCTTTTTTTTTCTTTTTCTTTTTTTTCTTTTTTTTTTTTTCTTGAAAGGATGTTTCAAAAACAGACCAGTGAATTTTACATTCTGTCTTGACAGAAGTCTAGATGTTGACTTAGTAATGAATCACTGACTGCATGGTTTGTAATTTATACTGAATTTGCATACATGTTATTTGAGAAACGTTTGTTTATCTGGAGTGTGTTGAATTCCTTCTTTTTGCTAGCAAGATTCATGTTGAGTGCCAGACCTGAACACAGCAAAGCCCCAAAGATATCAGTGGGCAGACCAGTACTCTCTAAACCTGACTATGTGACAGTCTAGTCTTGCAATCTGGAAGGACCCCAGGTGTAACAGGGATAGTCTTGATGCTCTCTTTTAATTTTGGAAGTTTTTTCAGGCTGCTTTGTGACTGGCTGGAAGTGTACAGTGCTGCTTGCTGAGGATCTATCTGATGCTCTTTCTTTTGGTTGAAGCTTGATATACCTTTGTCCATTGCAAGACAGCTCTGTGGCTGCCTTCTGCAGTATATGTACCAAGTGGATCCTCCTCAGACTTTTAGGACATCTTTTCATTCCTCCAGACATCTTACAATGTGTGGAGATGTTAGCAAGAAGGTGAGGGTCCAGGCCTGATTTACAAATGTGCCGACAGTTACAGAGGAAGAAAGAAAGGAGAGATTTTTAGCCTAACTTATCTAATTTTGTTTAATGAAGTAATTAATATTGCATTTTAAAGATGCATATAATCAATTAGGTAGCTGCTGACTTGACTGGATACATTTTTTCCTGACAGGTGCTTATTGAATAACCTTGGAGCTTTGAATTACTGTGACACTTTATTCGTATGTTACCAAAGTGTTCAAAATCTCCCACGATGAGCAGCTGATGTGGCTTTAATGAATACCCACCAACGTAATATAAAAATAAAATCTCCATCAGAGGCATTTTTAGTCCAGCTAAATTTGATGTAATCATTCCCCTTTGCCCTGAAAGATAATTTAAGAAGATTTCAATGACTGCCTCGTACAAAAGAATTTTTCCTCATAGCAGAGGGTCCATTTTTGTTTGGAAAATGATAAAACATTTTATTAATTGGAGGACCCGAGTGAATCTAACCACCTAAATTTCACAGGAGTAAATCAGGTGACAGGATACATTTGTTAGGAACATGAAGGTACTAATTGCTCTTAGAGTTGTTGGAGCTACTGTCGGATGTTGTGTGGGCAGAAGCTGTGTGAACTTCCTTGGACAGCTGTGCCAGTACCAGTCATGCTCCTTCTGTCCTCCTGAGTTACCAGTATGGTAAATTGCCATTCGTTTATTTGGAGGTTGTGTATTGTGCATGCACAAGGCATAGGATGACGCCAACAAATCCAGCTTTGCTGTTGAAAAAAACCTTTCTTTTTATAAGTTTTAAACCATAATTCTACGCTCATATGACAGGAGGTCATAGGTTATGTACTCCTGTAAGGACAGGTCCCTAAAAAGTGGCTGCCAGTGACTTCAGTCCACAGTCTGATCTTGTAGAAAGAGCTCCTAATTGAAACTTGGAAGTCAGTAACCAAAACTACTGGTATAAGAATCTGCTGCTTCTGGGGAATAGTAGTATCTGTGTTTTCCACAGAAGTCTGGCTTATTAGCAGAGAAGATTAAAGGAAAACAAAGACTTAGGTTAGACTGATAGACAATTATTTTTACTATCTATGCAAGTCTTAGAGTCTGTATATGTTTGGCAGGTTTTGGAGCTATTTCTCTAGATATTTCCTAGTACTTGCTGAGAAAGGTCCTTCTACTCGATCATCCACAAAACTGGGCAATGAGAGGTTGCAGTACATAAGTATGAACTAAATTTTATACACACCTTTTATAGATGGGCAATCCTTAGGGGGAGGTTTAACCAAAAAATTATCAGTCCTGTAGGACATACAGTATGCCTTTGCATTTCATGTTGTTGGGTAAAACCTGTTGTGTTCTGTGGCTGTTGTGCTCATAAAAAGTTGAGTTTGTGGAAGTAATTGAGCATGTGAAGTGCAAACTTACTGACTTCAACTTCCTTCCTACCTTCTCATCTTATATTGGCCAAATTTTTAAAATTATATCTTAAAATTGTATCTTTGCTGTAAGAGGGATACAACTTGCTAAAAAACTGATTGTTGTGTATGTGCCCTAGTAATGTTCTGAAAATCTGTACTTGTCAAACAGTCATTCTCTGAGGATCTTTCCTACTGACAGTTCTTTGCTGCGAGAAGAGTCAGTGTCTGTTGCATCTTGGTTTGACTAATTTGCTGATCTGTTATTCCAACTTTATACTCAAAGTGCTCTTAGAACATCTGTGTTGAACCTTTTTTGGACATAAGGGCATTTAATAGATACAGCAGAGTAACATTAAAAAGTAGTTTCAAGCAGCTGCTTGTAACACTGTGTGCTACTGAACAGATCCTTGCATAGACCTGTCTGGATTGCACCATAGGTGTTTTCTTTTGGCAGATGTCCACATGGAAGCACTGGGGGTTTGGTTTGAATAAGCAGTTTCACAGATTTGAATTAGTCAATGCTCAATATGATTTGTCTTGCAGTGTAAATAGCAATGGAGACCTAACAAAATAATCCCCATCAAACAGTCCTCTATTTTCTGTTTTTAAATTTGGAGGGTGTCAAGCACTGTTTTAACTGGGAGACACAGAGGTCACAGACCCTGTTATGGGTGTTATTGCCTTGTCCCTGTTAAAATACCTTTGGTGTCCAATGTATGTTGTTACAGATGGACTGTGCGTGTCTTACTTTTTCTGCTAATCTTATCCAGATTGCAGACTTTCCTCTACATGGGAAAGAAAGTTAGAAATTCCAGCATTGTTACTTCTGTTCCTGTCATGCACTTGGATCTATCCAGGGCAGGTCAGACAGTGAATATGGTGAGGGACGAGAGATGTGGCAGCTTCTTTCTTAGAGTAGTTAATAATGTAGGGAGCTGCCATGGAGTTTCAGCTCATCTGGCAGTGTTCTTCCACTGCTTGTGAGTTTGTGTTGACTGCTTTGTTGACAACATCATACCCAAGTATTTTAAAATTAAAAGACCTGGGATGATAATGAATCTTTTCTTTCATCATTGCAGCTGTTTTTTGTCTTACTAACTCAACCACAGCAATGCATAGCCTTTGTCATCCTTTTTTTTCCCCTGTTATTAAGTGATTCAGTGTTTTTGTGTTGTAGTACTACTACCCAGTTGATCAGATGTACAAGAACAGCGGCTGCGAGGAAGCTAATCTATTTTATCTGTCATTAATTACTTTCCCTCTGTATTAAGAAGAACTACTGAAGCTTCTGATGTTGAACAAGTTAGCAGACCATGTCCTTTGCAACTGCTGAACATGGCACACTTGTCAATGCTATTTGAAAGAATCCATAAGGTTTCTCTTGGGATAATGGTTATTCTTATTTCCAGCATCTGGCTTTATTGTTGTGCCTGGCTGGAAACAAATGATTTAAAGGAAATGGGCCTGTTTTACTGATGAAACTTCTTCCACATTCTGTGTAACTTTTGCTTTTTCTTTTTTGTTGTAATACAATGAACCTTCTTCAGTGAAATAGTTTCAGGTAGAATGTCAAGCTCACTAAAATGTATGGGGAAAATCCCTGATAGTATATTTTAGCAATGTTCTATATTATTCTAGCTTGTCTTTTATTAAATATGAACACAGAGAGCCAAAAGGTTGCTTATTTTATCTCTAACTTCTGATCTTATTTACCTTCTGAACATCAAACTTAAAAGTGAAGTCTTTATAAATAGATGATCTGGATTGGAAGGTATCAGATTAATTGCTATGACTCTGACTTTATGATGTAAATTTGTAAATTTCTAGGATGAAGAATTTGGTCTTTCTCAGTGTTAAAATTCCCAATGAGTTCAGTGAATTCAGGACACAATTTACAGGTCAATTTAGCTTTTAAGTCATCTAGACCTGCTGGATACTAATTATTTCTGTAGCTGTTGCTTTGTTGCTGTGCTATTCAATGTTCTGTCCCTGGTGGTAACTATTACAGACGTTGTTTATAATCTCTGAAAATCTTTGACACTTATAATTTTAATTTAGTGTGTAGCACATCTCCAGGGTGTGCGGAAGGCGGATTGTCCCATACATTTTTCCAATCAGCATTTCAAACATAAAAATATCCGGCATAAAAATTTTTTACTTTCCTTCTTCTTATGTATTTTCCATGTTTCCTCCTTTACTTGTTTGTTTATTTATTTTCTGTTTCCTTTTTAAAGATCCAAGTACAAATCCAGCCTATTCAGAAGAAAGGTTGGCTCATGAAGCTTTGCAATTAGAAAAGCGCTTGAGCTTGCTGTCCCATACAAGTCGCCAAGGCAGTGGAGGTAAGAAATATCTTTAATTAAATAAAAATAAATATCTTCCTTCCTTCTCAGGCTTTAAAAGTAAGCATATGTTATAAAATGTGGAACTTACAAGAGAAATAGAGAAATGGTCAAGATATTTGATTACCTGTAAAAATGCTCTTCTTCTAAGTATCAGTGAGGAAAAAAAATTCTTGAAATATATGCATAAATGAATCACAGAAGATCTTTTTGTATATAGATATGTAAACATTTTTATAGCAGTAGTATTCTCATTTTTTTGGTACAGTTATGTATGTTTGCATTTTGGTACAGTAATCTGATTAACTACGGAAGCAAAATATGTTTGAAAAGGGGAGAACTTGGTGCATAAACCTTAAAAATCTAGCTTTGAATGCATTATATCCCACAATGTGATAGGGTTACAGCAAGGTAACATACTATTGCATTTTATTTTTCCTGTGGGGATACAAATTATTGCAGGAGTTCTGGCTTTCTGACAGCAGTTCCATGTACAAAAAACAGATGGAATCTCAGGGTCCTTCCTCTTTGTACATACTTGCCATGCTTCAGTCTCTTGATTGCGTTTTAAATGCAGGTTGATGTGTTTTCTTCTCTTCCAGGAGATGACAGGAGTCTTTCAAGCTCGTCTTCAGACACCAGCCACTCGGACGTCAGTGTTGGGAGCAGATTGACAGTGTGGCCTGAGCAGTCTTCAGCCAGCACCTCTCAAGAGAGCCATGGACTGGCAGCTGCCAAGGGCATTCATCTTGGGGAAGAAAAGACCCTTCCAGAAGGGGCACGTGGCGCCACTAAACCACCTCCGAAACCCCTCCGATCCAGACAACTGCAGGAAATAGGTCGTCAGAGTTCTTCCGACAGTGGAATAGCTACTGGTAGTCACTCTTCTTACTCTGGAAGCTTCTCTTCCTATGCTGGGAGCTTGGACATTTGCCACGGTGATGAGTTTGGATCATTGCTAAGCTTGCCACTGAACTTCCCTTCAGATCAGAGTTTATGTACTTGTCCTCACAGCGAGTCCCAGAGAGGTGTGGGATCAGAGTACCAGGTTCCCAGCTCTCTCAGACATATTTATGATATACCCAGGAGCGTGTTACAGGCAGCTTCTAAAGATGTGCAACAGAAGAGTGCAGACTCTACGCTACCCAAGGACCAGGCCCTGCCACCTCAAGGTGCTAGTGACCCAAAACTGAGACTACCACACTTGGAAGCACGGAGGGCACCTGAGCACAGCCAGGACAGGGGCAGGCCTTCATCCTTACTTGCAGAAAGCAGCAAGGACTCAAGTGATGAGACATATGTGGATTTTGTTTCAAGGTGGTCAGACACAAAACCACAAGGACAGGTGTCAGACTCCAAAAGTAGTGAGTTGTCACCACCTGGTGGGGCCTCAGCTGACCCCTGTGACACATGTAGCCCCCACCTTGGGATGACAAGAGCTCTTTTTTCAGCTTGCCCAATCTGTGGTGGACTAAAGGTAAATACCTAAGACTGAGCAGATGCTAACAAACCTTAGTTAATACAGCATGATTAATTTAAAATTACTTAAGTTGTAGGTCATAAGTAATATTGTTTCCTTTATAGTGTGAACAGGTAATAACTTTTTTGTGTATGCTCATGGTCGAATGGAGAGGTTTAACATGTGGTTTCCTCAAAATCTGGGCCTGGTCAAGGAAACACTGCACAGCATAGGCCACCAATTGTTATTTTTAAATTGGCCAATTTTGGCTGTGGGTATATGTGAGTGAAAGAAAGACAGTTTTGCAGCCACTGAATTTGTCATGTAATAGCAAGCAAGCAGGAAGGTCATTGATCTGTCTTGCTGCTGGTATTTACAGAGAAGAAAGACAGGAGGTCAAACAGTATGATCTGGCTCTTAAGGTGACCAGAGTGCATATTTTTATTTTGTTGATGTTTTTCTTTTCTTTATCGCTGTAGTTTGAGCATTGCACAGGAAGCCAGATTAGCCAAGTTTCTCACTGGAGAAATACAAGATGGTGAAGTCAGCATGGCAATCCATAGCAGATCAACTAATCCAGTATTGTAATTGACCAATGACAGATATTCTAGAGGAGGGACACAAAAGCTCCTTAGCCAGTGTATGACCAGGACACCTTATTTGCAGGAAAAATTTATTTTTATCACCAGTCGCATTGAAGACTTAAAACCTAAGCTATGGAGATTCATATGCCTTTATAACCACATTTGCCAGTATCTGTGACTTTGATATTGTTAAAAATTCTTTTTGAACCCTGCTACATTCTTGTCTTTTTATGGCAGTAAGCATTATGCATCAATTATACATTGCATGAAGAAAATGTATCTTGTTTTTATCCATTCTGGAGAAGACTTTTTTTTTTTTTTTTTTGTGAATGTGCTTGCTAAACTAGAACTGGGTAAAGCTGCTTGTATTAGTGAGCTGTTGAAAGGCTGTGAAGGTTAGAGAGAGTGCTCAAATTAGAGAATATGTGGAGCAAGAATTCAGCAAGAGAGACTTCTGCTTGAGGAATTAAATGCTGCCACTGAAGTGTGTGCATTTAATTAAGCATTTAAGATTACATAAATCAATACTGTGAAAAGGGCTTGAATGTATAGTAGGTGATGAAAGAAAAATTCAGAGGTTATAAATTAGAGGGATTATTTTCTTCTCATGAGGTGTTTTATGCATTTGCATCATTGACTGCCTTGATTTCTAGAAGGGCTCTGGGTTGGGATCAGAAAGCTCAAAGGTGTCTTTGTTATGGGCAGCGAGGAAAGAATTAGATAAGGTATAATTAGCTCATATGGTCTAAATGTTTGTGGGTGATCCGAATTGTTGGTTTAGAAATGAATTTATCAAATCTTACCCTGGGTATCTGTGGAAGATGGGAAGCTGAAAGGGAATGTTCCATTGTTTATCTTCAAAACCATGGAAAGCTAAATTATGTCACTACTTTCACTGCCCGTTGACCCCCAATGGGCATAGGTACTCACATCTTTCATTGCAAAGTGCTGTCAGGTTTCACAGTGTTTCTAGCTGCCCTAATAATATAAGTTGGCAAGAATTTCAGGTATTGTCAATATTTGAACAAATGTAGTGATAAACACTGCTGCAGTACTCTTACTAACTTTTAGCATGAGATGTGCACATCTGCTGTTTTTTGTTTTAAATACCTATTTATAAGCAGTCAGGAAAGAAGTCTCATTAAATGGATTGGTTCATGGGTTTGTTTTTACTTTTGAAAGAAAAGATAACCTTTTGATAAATTCTCTTGAACTGTCAGGATGAGTTATTTTAGCAGCATGTAATGGACACTGTCTTTGGCATTTCTCATGATGAATGCAGTGAAAGCACAAGTCCATACACTGTAACTAAAAAATAATTCCTATTCCTTGTGCTCTGAACAGGATATGATTAAGATGCAGTTAGGGCCAGGAGGAGTTGATTTATGGATTAACGAAAATACCAGGTTTTCATGTTCAGTCAAATTCATGTTCAAAAAGCTTTAGTGTGCCAGTGTTTGGAGTTCCTTTGCAATTTCAAGTTAAGCTGTTAATTAAATTGTGTTAATGGTATTTAAATGCCTGCTATGTAAAGTGATTAAGTGACCAGAATAGAGGAAAGTCTGCAGCAGTAGTTAAGGATAATTAAGAGTACATTTGTTTGTTTTCTGCCCTGTGTGTAAACTTTGGCAAATGGAGGTTTGGGCATGTTGTGTGTGCATATTGGAGTTCGGCATGTGAAGAGTTGGAGACAGGGTGCAGGATGAAGACATGGATATGTGGAGAGTGTGGTGGTGTTCATGATTGGGACTGACTTGTTAATAACCACCTGCTCCACTAGTGACAAGGACGATGAGGAGCATAGGGAGAACATACCCTGGGAAAGCGCTGAGGCTCAAACAGAAAACAGGGCAAGGAAGCCTTTGTGTTTCACTCTGCATGATGAATAGAACCAGCATGAAGAGAGTCAGCAAATATTGCTCCTATAATTTCTGTATTGTATTTCATATTAGACACTGGAGGTTAATAAGCAAGCATGCAGGGTGTTTTGCTTTCCGTTGTACGTAATTGTAGTGTGCTCGAGATGCTCCTTTACAAACTTCACGAGGTGTGCCTTTGCTATGTAATTTTGCCTAGTTGATTTCAGTGCTATAGATGATTACAGAGATGAATTCATTGTGCATTGTAAGTATAATTTAAGTTCAGAATGTTGGATTGTTATGGGATTTCTGAGTAAGCTGTAGAGATTTATTATTGGACTTATTACGTTTTCAACTACTTAACTAATACTAATTTGATGAATTTCATTGTATGCTTGTTGCTCTGTAACTTTATTTGATGCTATAGTTTAAGAAATTATGTCAACGTTTTTTATAGGGTGTCTTTTTTTTTTCTTTTTTTCTTTTTTTTACACCACCGTTGTTTGTAAATTTTCTTAGAAGTCTGAAAAATAAAATTCTTTTCCAACTGGTTTTGTCCTTTTCCATCTGACAAATACTGGCTTTAGTTTTGCTTAGCATTTTGTCCCTTGACCTTCATCTCCTTGCAAGTTGAATTAATATGGAATGATTATGGCTATCTCTTCATACTAATTAGCATAATACTCAAATCACTGTTGACAGCTCGAAATGGGCCTATTAGTAGGAATTACATTTATGTATGTCTAGCCAAGGCTAAACTCATATTTATGTCAGTGGGAGTTCTTATTTATGTAGAAATATAGTCTTGATTACTGCTTTGATAGTTGACTTGCCATGATAGAGAGGAAAAGAACTTGTCAGTTTGTGTGTGGCTGTTGTCATCAATCTGTATTGGTATTCAGCCACCTACTTTAGTTGATCTTTTTAAAAAATACCAGAACTGCCTAGGAGATAATGGTCCCAAATTAGGAGCTGGTCTACCCAAATCCTCTCTGAGGTACTAGTATGGTTCCTGCTACCACAATAAATGTATGACTCAAACTTTGAATCTTCCAGCACATCTGTAGTAAGTGGAAATGTGGAAATGTTGTGGTCATGATGGACAAAAGAGTTCAGGGGTTTTGTCAGGCAGCAGGATCCACAGTGCTGAGGGGCTAAGAACCCTTCCATACGCAGTATCGGGAGAACTTGGCAACAACTCTGAAGGAAGACGTGCATGTTTGTAGTGTGATCCTTGAGCAGGCTCTTCAGTAGTGTATTTAGTCATGCACCACCATGACCCCTTCCAGAGCTTGTTAATCACCTGCAGCCTTGGATGAGTGCAGAGTCCCTGTGTAGATCTAGAGCAACTATAAATATCTGTGTGTCCCTTGTGCATTGTAGACCGGGGAGAGACTAAGCCTAGAGAGAAGCAAGGCTGATGTGTCTTCAGGTAGAGAAGGGGCTTGAAGTCTCAAGAGCATCCTCCACTGAGGTCTCTTCTGAGGTCTTGCCTGGACTGATTTTACCAGGGTCATGAGCAGCCTGTAACTGGGTTGGGAATACAGCCTTGGTCTTCCAAATCCCATACAACCCCCTTAACCCTGGAGTTAGCTGGTGTGTCTCCTTTTGTTGTAGATGCTACTTTTGAGAGTGGCGAAAGAGAAGGCCTGTAAGGTGTTACCTTTTATAGCAAAATTTGAGAAACAGCAGCTTCAAAGCTATATGGCTACATCTGTGTAACTGAGAATATTTTAACTTTTTTTGGCTTTTAGTCATGCCCTTCTCTAATGTAGTATGAAAACAGATACTAAAGAAATCACAATATATTGTTATCTCTCTACAGTTTTATTGTAGCAGGTTTTTTTTCTGTTGGGAGTCATTACCTCTTTCCCCATGAGACCAAACACCTTATGTGTTTATCTTGTAGTGTGTTTATTGCCATGCTTTCTCTGAAAGTGTAGGAATGATTATTTGTAATTGCACACCTTTTACATCTCTTTTCAAAGATTTTTTTTTTTACAGTATTGATGTATTATGCTGTAACATTTTATGCTTCCTCCCACCTTTAAAAAAGCTAAAGGCTGTCTAAATTCTCAGCTGAGAAGGATGCATTTGTCATCTTCTACAGCGTTGTTGCTACTTGTATTGCTGCTTTAATGTCAGAGCTCTGGGCAGTTGGGCAACACATGTACTGTCAAAACTATAACAGGAACAGTTTGCACCTCAGAGGAATCTGGAAGTCAGTTGTCAGTATTGACCCAAGTGATGGCGTGTTTGTGAGGCTCTTCTGTAGTTTGATGACTCTTGATTCTGGGTCTTACTGGCTTTTGGCACGAATTAGAAAACTTGCTCTTGTGCTCTCTTCCTTTAAGATTTAATTACAGTTGTTTTTCTTTGAGTCTTGACTGTGATACATTAACCTGCAGTGACATCTTCCATCACATGTGTCAGCACTAAATAAGGTGTCTGGACTGGACAATGATTTAGTAATTTGGCATTTTACTTACCCTACGGTTATTGTAAAAGGCTCTGAAATTTTTATAATAGTGTTATTTTTTTGACTTTTCCTGGATTCAAAAGCATCTTAAAACCC